TACTTGGATTTGACATTGGGATTTTAATGTCCAATAGCAATTGCAAGTTGTCCAGATTTTGATGCATTAGATTAGAAGTCATAGATATGCTGTTGCTGTTAGGTTGAGTGGATAATGGAGAACTTTTTAGTGTCACGTGAAGTATCTGGTCTGGAATTCGAGTAGATGTTGAGAGGAGCCAGATAAGTTGGATTTTGGAGAAGGTTAGTCTTAAGTGAAGGTGACTCGAGTAATAAATGAAAATGCTATCACGGTACAGCAATGCAACCTACAGTACTTCTAAACATAGTATCTCTAGCTCATCTGAAGATTGGAAAAACCTATTAATTACTACTTTAGAAGTCCCAGATGGAGGTAGGCAAGGTTAGTTCCTCTTGAATATCATGAGCATGGAAGTTGGCATCGGCTGCTTGGTGATATGCTGCAATTCCGTGCATCTCAATTAGAGCATCCCAGTTGAAGCTCTTCTCTGCAAAGGCTGCAAGTTCATTGTAATCTCCAAAGGAAGAATCCATCCCTGTTGAACTCTCTGTAGCAATATTGTACGTTCCTTCAGTCTCTGACTGCTTTTCCTCTCTCACTATTCCCAGCTGCTGAAGGAACTCGTTTAAATCAATCTGTGGTTTCTCCTGCTGATCACAAGCTCCCTGCATTATTTCCCCTGATGAAATATCTACGTCTTTCTCCTTGGTTATTGAATTTTCTATCTGGGTTTTCTCAGTTATGATCTGAGTAAGAGTTTTTGATTCACAGGAAGATGAACTAGAGGAAGATTGGCTCATGGCTCCATTATTCTTCTTGAGTTCCTGGAGCCTCTGATGAATAACATGAACGCTAGGTTGGGCATGGATATTGAGCAGGCCACAAGAAGGAAACATGGAGATGAAATTCTTCGAAGGAATCCATTTGAATCTGTTTGTGGGATGAGAGTTTGAGTTGGGTTGAAGGTGGGGAAGATTGAGGTAAGCATCAGGTCCGTATAGCCTCCTTGCAGCCTCATCATATGCCATGGCAGCTTCCTCTGCCGTGGCAAAAGAACCCAACCAGAGTCTGGTTCTCTTCTTGGGCTCCCTGATTTCTGCCACCCATTTGCCCCATGTTCTCTGCCGCACTCCCCTGTACTGGCAGGAGGCATTCTGAGGGCCACCTTTCCCTCTGGCAGGACCTTTCTTCCAGGGCTTTAATGGAGATTTTCTGAAGTTTTCCATGGGGAAGAAGTGAGGAATGAGGAGAGTGAGAGTACGGAGAAAGTGAGCAGCGTGGCGCGGGATTATGTAGGAAGTGAGTGTAGATTTGGTTTAAATGCTTTCACGTTTCAGAAAAATTAAGCTTTGAAGCCCCATGTGACCGTTAGTGAGTGTTGCAAAGATGATCTCAAATCCATTATGGTTGGGAAGATTGCATGCATGATGCATCCATGACCTTCCTCATTTGGCTTCTCAATTTGGAAAAAATAACATCGCTTAGGTATTCGTTTTCCATGACAAAAATCTATTTTTGTATTCGTAGATTATTTACTCAAAATTTCTTTGAAGAATCAAATTTTTAATAAATAAAATGACAACAAACTTTTTTACCAACTAGATTGACCAATCAGTTATATATTCAAATTATCCTGTAAATGCCCTTTAGGTTGACACAACCCAACATTCTGCATCAAGTGGCAATCCCGTGAACAATAAGAAAACAGGTAAAAATAAAAAATAAATTGCCCTCGTTACTGAATTGAGCAACAAGACAAGCACCCAAAGGGCAAAGTGCATTAAAGATGTAGTAGAGGTGATTAGAACCTGTGGGTGTTGGTATGTTGTGACTTCTGAGTAGTGTATTCCTCGGATT